TCGGTATTGATATTATTCGAAATTCTTAAGATATTACTCTTAATTATTTTGGTGTCCAACTCAGGGCAATTTAGTGGGCAGAGGAGTGGTGGAATTTTGTGAGGGAGGGCCTCCAGTAAGTTTCCAAATTCCAATATTTTTTTGGAAAAATCAACTCAAATCTTTTATTTCATTTCAAATTATTTTTATTTTATTTTATAATATTGAAACAGGTCAAGAATTTCATTTCTATAGCAGGCCCTCATGCTGGTGTTGCTTCTATTCCACAGTGTGGGGTAATTGCATTATTATTTTGCTTCTTTCTATTTTAATTTTTATTTATGGTTTTTTAATATAAATTTATSATTAACTTTTTTAAAAAAAACTTGCAGTCTGCATTTTTCTGCCTAGTAGTAGATGAAATGATAAAGTCTGTGGTTTATACAGATGCTGTCCAAGTAAGCTTCTGTTTTCAGTTCCTTTCATGATTCAGCTAAARAAAAATTAACAGGAAAATTTCATAAACTTCAAAGTTTTAATTTCTTGAATAATACAGCCTTAAACTTAAAAATATAATAATATTTCATTTATGTTCATATCAATTTCTGATAAAGCACTAACAGATTCACTTGGCTTTTTTGATATATAATGCAGAATCTTCTTGCTCCTGCTACCTATCTTAAATTGCCAAATGTGAGTATTTTCTAATAATTCCATTAATGGCTCAAAGATTGTACCTGTGAAATTTTTAACTTGTGATTATTTTTCAGAACATTCCTGGATATTTGAAGAATTCTAAATTCCTTCCAAAGCTCAATAATGAACTTTCAAAAGAAAGAAACTCCACTTATAAAGAGCGTTTTWGTAGCTTGCAAAACTTGGTGTTGATTATGGTAGGTCGATCTCCAACACACTTTTGCAAACTTATTGTTGCTCTCAAAAATAATTTTTGTTTGGGTTTAAAGTGACTTATAAAAGTAGAAATTATCATGCTTTTAAGTAATTGTTCATAGATTCATGATTTAGGAAAACAGTTATTCAAACATGTAGTAGAATTTTTTTCACCTTTTCACAACATTCCTTAGTAACCCATGATCAAGTTTATGATTTTTTATTTTTTTTTTCCTTTGTGTTTTTGAACAGTTTGAGAATGATACAATCTTGATTCCCAAGGAAACATCATGGTTTGGATTCTACCCAGATGGGAATTTTGATGTGGTTCTACCTCCCCAACAGGTACTTATATTCTCAAACAAAAAAACAAAACAAATTTGTTGTTTGTGTTGTTTAATTTGTTGTTGTTTTTTTTTGTTTTTTGTTTTTTTTTTTCAATTGTAAAAAACAAATTTATTGTTAAAATTTGTTAAAAAAAATTGATGCTATTAATTTATTTCGGGATGTGTACAYGTCATTCCAATGCTATTTGAACATCAAACTTAATCTGTGTCTATAAAGCAAAATCTGATTTGTTTATCAAAAAAAATTCATTTATTCCAAGTAGGAGGTTCATATTCTTCCAACTATGTTACAAAATAATATTTTAATGACGTATCAATTTTTAATTAACAAAATTTTACATTTTTTTTATGGAAAGACTTAATTGAAAATTTTTAAAATAGCGAGGGTGACATAAACAATTTTAAAATACTAAGGATCAAACCCAGAAAAATCTAARAAGTTACCGACCATATTTAATATGCTTAGTCTTTCGTGCTTTGGTTCATTTTGATCTTTACACTTTGAAAACGTCTATTTTAGACCTGGTATTTTGAACTTTTATTCATTTTAGTCCTCTGTATTTTCTATTTTGGTCTTCTATCACGAGCATTTGAATTGTACAGACAAAACTTTACATGGAGGATTGGATTGGATTGAGAAGTTTAGCGGAATCTGGAAGAGTAAAATTCATAAAAGTTGAAGGAGAACATCTTAGAATGTCAACAAGTGATATCAGAAGGTATGTGGTGCCTTACTTGCAACACCAGCCATTGAAGGTTCTTTGGTGGAGACCTCAAAAAACTCAACAGAGAACCTCGAACCTCCTCCAATCAAATTAAACCAAAATTTCTGTATTTGAAGAAAATATAGAGCAGCTGGTATGGTATGTGAAGTTTCTCTAATGCTCATTGCGAACAAGATGGATTATGATTTTGCAAATATTACAGCTTCAATCTATTCATAACTTTTTTGTTTTTAGAAAATAAGATCGTTTACTTACTACCAGTAACAAACACTTGCACGTGAAACTTGTAGTTTTATATTAAAGTATAAAAAAAATTAAATTAATAAAAATTAGAAATTAAATAGTTTTTAAAAGTGGGAGGGAATGATCATGGGTATATATAACATAAGACAATTATCTCTATTGGTGTGAGACCTTTTGGGTGAAACCAAAAGCAAAGTCGTAAGACTATATTCAAAGCGGACAATATCGAAYCATTGTAGAGATATACCACTTGTTGAGCCGTGAGGTCTGGGTATAGATATATCATAGATGCTTGATGAAATTTAGTTGAGAATTGACTGAAAAACTTCCTTTCTTCMTTTTGTTTTTGGTGGGAGGAGGTGTGTTTAAAAGTTTAGAAGAATATTTGGAGTCCTTTGTATTTTGTGATATTAGTAAGCATATTTTGTAGGTTYAGTGGACTGGAATTTTGTTGAGAACTTTGCTTTCTTATTTTTGTTTTGGTAGGAGAGGTGTTAAAAAAGGTCAGGAGATTGTGTAAAAACTTTAAGAGATGACAACTCATTTTGAACTCTATATCACTTTATTTTTCAAAACTCGGTGAATTTTGTAATTATTGGCGAGCGTTGGAACTTACTTTAGTGAAGTTATATAATCTTCTTTCTCCCGTAAATTATTGAATACTTTATTTTTGTGTTGTATTGAATTATAAAACTCTATTAAAAAAAAGATGTGAAAAAAATTTAATGTGTTATATAGTATTTTTGTATGTTTATTCAACTACACAAACAAGTTTTGAAATAAATTTGATCCCATGCAAAGTTTATATAGCAAAAATTAAATGCTTTAAGAAAAATCAACCATAATTATTATAACAATGAGAAAAAATATAAAAATCTATAACAACGTAAAATAAAAAACTATACATACACACACACACAAAATATATAATAACGTAAATAAAAAGGCTATTATATAGCATGATGATAGGTAAGCTATATTGACTATATAACAGCGTAAACAAAAGGCCACTACAGGTTTACGATGACGTCATTTAACTAATTGGTAATGAGATTGAGTTTTTTGGGACTTTGATACCATATCAATATTCATGAGGTTCCATCTCAAAATTAAATAGTAATGAAATGAGTAATCCATGTTTATTATAAACTTTTGGAAGATTTTTTTCTCCTTCAACGTGGATCCTTAGCCATAACATCTATTATAGCCGTGGATAACCTATAAGAAGTCTTGAATTTTTAATATAATAACATGGGCTATTCGGAGTTTCGAAAAAATGCTATAAAAAATCTATTATAAGATTTTCGATTAGCTATGATATATATTATGGTTTTTTTATTTTTTATATTGTAGTGATTCATGAAAGTTTCTTCATTTATGGTTAGCATCATACACACTCCTGCAATGAATTATTTACTTAAATTAATTTTGTAACAGTGAATGTATACTTTTTTTTTTCCTTTCTTTTTTGGCAGTTTAATGATGGCTCAAGCTGAAACAGAATTCGTATTGAAGGGAAGTTTTACATTTATTTGTGTAATTCTACATTGCTTTTAATATAGAAGATTTATTCCTTAATTAGTAGAGAATATATTTTTTTAACAAATTTACATTGCTTTTAATATAGAAGTTTGATACTTTTGTTGATTAGTTAACCTTTTCTTTTCAAACCCATTAACTTAATAGAATTAGATGCCAACATGAACTTAGCTAAATTAGTTAAGATAATTATTTTTGATAAAAAAGTCGTTAGTTTGAATTTCCACTATTAAAAAAAAAGAGTAGAATATATATTTGTGTAAAATTTTCCATTGCTTTATATAAGTTTGATAGTCTTGTGCTTTGATTCGTCATTAACTTAGTAGAATTATATGTCAAGATGAGTTTAGCTAAACTCGTTTAAGACAATTATTTTTTACCAAAAAGATCGTGATCAGTTAGAATTTTCGATTGGTTTATATAAGTTTAATACTCTTTTGTTTCGATTCATTAACTTGGCAGTTTACTAAAAAGAACCCTATAAAAACTTATATAGAGCAATATAAAAATTAAAACTGAAATCAACTCAATCAAATTTCTATATTAAAAACAAGCTAAGGTAAAAATCTACACGTGTAACTTCTTACATTTGCTTTTAAATATAGAAATTTAATTGAGTTTGATTTTAGTTTTTTCTGTTCAAACAATGGTGATAAGTGAACCAAATATTTATTTTAAGAATGATAATAAATGTTTTGTCTACTTGAGCTATGTTTGATGGACAATTTATTACGGTTAATTTCTCATTTGTCTTTAATTTTCTTCGAAAATTACATATATATTTTTTAATTTTGCAGCTTAATTTCCATAAAAAAAATGTCTATGTATGAAATAATATTAAAATATATTAAAATTTTAAATAATATAAAAAAAATACTACACCTTACGTGGACTGTAACCTATTGCTATAGGCTAGCATCAATGTTAACTACATGGTCTCTATATAGTATAGACTACATTAGAATAGACTATGGTCGAAAAATTGTGGATATGAATAAATAAATTAATGTACTGTCCTAAATAATAATAATAATAATAATAATAATAATAATAATAATAATAATATTATGGAGTATTATATGTTTTTGATAGTGGAGCAATATAAGTCAATTTATACAAGTTGTTCGGTAAAGGAAAGGATCAACAACACACATTAGTAGGCAATTGTAACGATGACGAAAATAATACAAATAATTAACTATTGGTGATTGACAATGTTTGTATAAGAGACTCATTGAAGGCTTGAGTTGGTATGTAATTTAAATTTGAGCCAGGTATTTATTATTATTTGTTTTTGAAAAGATACCAAAATTTGAGCTAAAGTTTGATAATTGGTTTAAGTTGGTGGTGGTTGTCTGCCATTAGTCTATTATGATTCTAGTTTAAATTATATTTTATAATAATGAAAAGAACTAATTTAAGCGACGAGATATGTCACATTATTAGTAAATAGGTAAGAAGACAAGTGTATTTTATTCTTATTTCATTACACACATTATCTTTTGTTGTGGATAACGATATAAAATAAGGAGAGGGAGCTACCTTGCTCATCTTCTCCTACGCAAAAAGCGATCTCATTTTCCCATTTCTACTCACACCACTACAAAAATTTCATAAATCGAAATCAAAGCTAATGGCTTTTTGCTCTTTCGTTCTCTTCTTTTTCATCCTCATTCTCGCCCTAATTTCCCGTTCTTTACCCTTCGTGTTCATCCATGGTATTAGATTTCTATGTTTTGTTTCTTATCCTTGAAAGGAAATAACAAGTTTGGTTGAGAAATTGGGATGGTTCAAAAAGCTATATCTTGAAAAGCAACATGCCATTTTAAAATGAAAGTTTGGCAAATTGGTCCCTATTATTATTATTTTCATGTTTCCTTTAATCTACTTTCGCTAATGGCTTGTTTGTTTAAAATTGAAATTTGTTTCCTTTCAGAATAATATATAGAATTCGTGAATAACAATTACTTTTTTTGAGTTATTTGGGTCTTGTGTAGTTTGTTGGTTTAGAATTGGAGTTATTTGTTAGTATATATATATTTTTTTAGTACAATATGTGATGGAGATATTGTCAATTACTGTTGAATGCTCGCTTTGGCTATTTGTTAGTAAATATTAATTATTGATAACTATATGAATGTAATTTCTATAATATGTTAAGATAATTGTATTTCATTTTATTTTATTTATTCTAAATATAAATCTACTATTATCTCACACTCAAATCAAGTATATGATGTCAAAAAATAAAAAATAAATCATGTTATACTTTAAAAATATTTATATACTTATGAATAATATATTTAACAAGACATGAAAATAGATTTTTTTTTATGGAGTGAAAATAAACACTTGAAAGCATAAAATTATTTTTATAAATATTTTTAGCCGTATAAGTTTTCTACATCCAAAATCTAGCTCTCTTTCATTCTCAACCACCGAAAATGTATTTAAACATGATTCTCTCAAACATACTCCTAATGTTTATTTTATATTTTTGAAAAATAAAGTTGTTTATTAATAGTTGTCCACTTTTTGAAAACATTTCATAAAACTTGACTAGCTTCTTTAAAAAATAAAGATCAGAAAAGATATATTTCATTAAAATAAAATAGGTATAAAATATATTCCATTTTATTTGTGTAGGTACTGCTAATTCATGTTGAAGTGAAAAATCAATCCATCTCGCTTCATACTTGAAGAATGTTATTGGTGTTGAAGGCGAATGCACGTATGATTTTCTTTTGCAAAAAATATTTATTTCCTCAACAATTTTATAATAACTTTTTATTCCACGTAAGGTAATTAACATGAATAAATATATTATTTTTAGAATATAAAACTATAAAGGTATCAAGAAGTTAATATTTTCAACTTTAATAAAAGTTATCAATATCTTTTCTTTTCTCAGTTCAACAAAATAAGGGTGGACTCGAACAACTAACTGTTAAGACAAATGTATAATGCCTTAACCAATTAGTTAGGCTTTAATTAACAAATTGAATGACATAATTAATATATCTATGGAGTCTAATGAATTATATACAAAAATAATTGCATTGGAAGACAGATTTGAGTAATTGCACTCAAAAGAATGGACACACTCGTGTGATGTATTTAAAATACTTTTTATATTCATAGACTTTTGCAATGAAGTAAATAAAATATAAACTATAAGGGTTAGGTCTGAAAAGTTAAAATTATATGAAGGACAAAAATGTAAAGAAAATATTCTTTCACTATTCTCATAATATCGTAAAGATATATATATATTTAAGATCTTATTCCATTTTACTTTCATTACTTTACAGAGAAATTGGGAATGGATCTGATGATTCTGTGACAATGCCCATTAACCAACAGGTTTTACACATTAATCAATTTTCTTTTTTTTATTTTTATTTTGAGCAAATATTCTTGA